AGTAAATCCGTACCATCAAAACGTGGCTCTTTGAAAAGATTAATACAATTTGAAAAGTCTAGCTAGGCTAACTGGAAAAAAAATGAGAATACACAAATACTAATATCAGAAATGAAATGAGATCATCACCAATGTTTCCATGGACATTAAAAGGATAATAGGTAAACAACTCTAAGCCCACAAATTTGATAACCTAGATGAAAAGAAGCAATTCCTAAAAAACCCAAAGCATAGAAACTCACATGAGAAGACACAATCTAAATAAGCTTATGTCTACTTAGTAAAATGAATCCATAATTAATAACCTCCCAAAACAGAAATCACAAGGCCCCGCTGGGTTCAGTGGTAAATTCTACCAAACTTTTAAATTAGAAATTACGCTAATTCTCTGGAATCTCTTCTAGGAAATTGAATTACAAGGAATTCTTCATAACTCATTCTATGAGGCTAGCATGAACCTAATATCAAAACCAGACAAAGATGATATATGGAAGGAAAACTATAGACCGATATCTCTCATGAACATGGCTGTAAAAATTCTCTATGCTAGCAAATTTTTATAACAATGTTATAATAGCAATATACAACATGATCAAGTGGGATTAATGACATTTGTCAAAACCCGTAAAATGTGCCACACAATGAGTAAAACCTATATAAATTGTGGACTTCAGTTAATAAGAATGTATAAATATTGGCTCATCAATAGTAACACATATTCCACATTAGCGCAAGATGCCAACAACAGGGGTGACCGTGGACGTGGGCATATGGGAACTGTCTATACTTTTCACTCAATTTTTCTGTAAATCTAAAACTGTTGGAAAAATCATCAATTAACATAAAAAATTAAGTTGGGTGTGTAGATTAAGTGGACAGTTGACAAATAACCTAAGACTTTGACTGCAAGGTAACAAGTGTGCGTGTGTCAGGAGACTAACAGAGTTATCCAACGATGTGCCCATAATGTCCCTGGTCCCATCACGTTCTTAGTAGATGCTGTGGGGACCTGCTGCAGCCCATACACCTGTCTAATCACCTCCCCAAAGCTCAGAGCAGTGAGCTCTTCTCTGAGATTGTCGAATTATATAAAATGTGGTTTGCCAAAGAGAAGGACTCATTAAGTTGAATATGGTTGGATTCCCTCCAAATAGAATGCAGCAAAGTCTACACCTTCACCATTACACTGGGCAAATTTGGAAAGTAAATGAGAATTGCAAACGCTCTACAGAATAATAGTAACAGAAAATAGTAATCCCTAACACTTGTGAACTGATGAATAATTAAAGTGTGACTTCATACCCATGAATACGATCCTAGAGCCATTCTGTGAGGGAGTAGAACAAGTATCTTTCCTCAGAGATGCAGAAACCAAGACTCCTTGGAGTAACATGACTTGCTCAAGGTCTTGCTGGTCCTCAGGAAAAACAGACACCCAGTGCTTGGCCTTTTGATTCTTAATCTAGAATGCTTTCCATTTGATCACAGCAAATCTTGGCACTTAATGGTAGCAGAAGTGAACACAAAGGCTTCCTAAAATACCCATGTTTGTCAGGGCTGCCGTAACAAAGTACCACAGAGTGGTTTAAACAACATAAATTATTCCATAACACTATGCTACCCATAATGCCATAGTTCTGGACTGAATCCACTCTGGTCTGGCTCCCTGAAACTCCTACAATAGGCCTGCAAGTCTGTTTTGTCTTCACTTGCATCCGACAGACATGTAGAGGCCACAACTTTCTTGTATTGGGATTCTTGGTGTCTGACTCCCATTTAGCTGTCCCCGCCCTACAATCTCGCCTTAGCAGAAGTAGAGGCAAGAACATAACACACGTCCTACTGACTACAGGGAAATATAAGAAAGAATTGGAGCCTTAGTAGGATAAACGTGAAAGTAGGGGCTCTGAGGAGAAGCAAAGGAGAGGGGACCAAGGTATATGACATAAAACAGAAATATTTTCAGCTAACAAGTTGTTGAGAGGCTAATTAGAAAAACGTAAATATGTGCAATCATTTATACACTGAATATTCAATAAGCACCTTTTGTAAGCCAGGCACTGGGTGTGAGACAATGAACCAAATGTGATGTCTTCCATCTGGGACCTCACAATAGCCTGAGAAGTCCCAACAAGTGAATAATAAGTTGAATTCAGTTAAGTGTATCAATAGTCTTGTCACTACCCATTAATATGCTGTCTTGTATTAGGTAGAAAGTTTTGTCAAGTCTAACCTGAAAAATTATGGCTTCCACAAATAATTTAAAAATCAGAGAAGGTCAAATTTGTTATTTTGGATTTTATGCTAGAGGGGCCTGGCAAGTGCTGAGTGTCCAGTTCTTTTAAATATTGTCCAGGAATCTAATGTAACCCAGGTTCTGGGCCAAGTGCTACAGGTGAATACATTGACATCACTCACCGCAAAAGAGCCTACAGTAAAATGGAAGCAGAGTGTAACTAGAAAATATATCTTATAAGAAGTGGTATAAGAGAGGTGACCACTGAATGCTATTAGAGCAGAGGGAACATATTTAAAGCAAACTTGCAGGAAGGAAAGGACTTTTCAAAAGACACGATGAACTTTCAACTGAGTTTGAAGGGGGGAAAGGAATTTACTATGTTTTATAAAAGTGGGGATACTTGGGAAAGGACATTTAGAAGGAAGAATAATATTTGAACAAGGTATATATTGTCAAGAGAGTGTATTAAGCATATTGATTTGTCCAGAAATTAGATATATATGTGGAATAAGATGATGCCAGAGAAGTGGGCAGAGGCCAGTTTGCAACAGACCTTGTGTCCTAAACTAAGGCATTTGAAATTCACACTGAAAGTGTTGGAGAGCTCCTGAAGAATTTTCAACCAAGAACATTTTCATAACTGCAGCTTGTTCTACTCTAAAAGCATTGTGCATGATGGACTGAAAGGAACAAGAGTGGAGGTAAGAAAGTGAGGAGGCTAGAGGGACACATGCAGTTTGCCCAACATCACAGCAGCCATCAAGGTACCAACTCTCTTCCCCATTCTAATATGCTGCTCAGGCCACACAGGTGCGGCTCATGTGCCCTCTTCTAACCTCAGGAGTGGACATGTGACCTCAGGCCTGCATAATCAAAATACCTCTTTATCATCTCATCCCCTGCCCACTTGGGCCACAGTGATGGATTTGGGGTTGGGCATGCATCTTTTGCTATTTTAAGAAGATAGCTTTTGCCGAACTATATGAAGAGCATTCTTTGGAATGGCTAGCTGAAGGTCTTGTGTGCGTTCAGGGCTGCAAGTGGCTGCCTTCCTACTATGAGAAGCTGCCTGTTGGAGACAAAGGGTGGGTAAATAGGGCCCTGGTGAAATCATATGAACCTTTGCATCCAGGAAGCCTGGAAAAAATTCTACTCTTGTGACTTCTCAGTTACATAATCTAATAAATTCTTTCTCTTCCTCCTACATTTCCTTTTCTTTTTCTTCTTTTTTTCTGTTTCAGCTAGTTGAAGGTGAGTTTCTTACACTGAAAACTCAAAGTCCTGATTCATACAACGTTCACTATAGTAATCCAGCTGGACAAGTAGGCCAAGTTTATTTTCCTTTCTAAATAACTAGTTGAAAGATGATGTTGAAATGTTTATGGAACATGTACTGTCGCCAATCACTGTGTCAGGCACCTTCACACGTGTCTTATTTGATCCTAATAAGCAGCCCTGAAAGGCAGAAACTATTATCCCCATTTTGAAAATCTGAGAACAGGCTTAGAAAGGTCTCTTGGTGGTAAAAATATCTGAAGGTATCTATTTCAAAAAGTGAACACTGGCAATTTGGTACCAAAGGAGTTTTATTTAATATTTAAATTTAATATGCAACGTGATTTTCATTAAAAATTAAAATTTTATGAAATGCTAAATAAATATATGGAAGCCTTGGCCCACATCATAAACCAGGATGACCTAGATATAAATTCCAGTCTTCCCAAGTCCCTTGACCCCACATTATCTTTCTTTAAGAGATAGTCACTTAGGCCAGCGGGGAATTGAGGAGAACCATTAACATCAGAAAATAGTTTTCATCTGGCCTAGCTCTGACTAGGGCCACCACTCTAAGCCACACGCCTTACTTTGTTCTGATATCAGATGGGCACCAAGGCTAAAAGGCCACAGGTCTCTCCCTGCCATTCTTAGTAAATCAGTTCTCAAAGTCTTCAGACCTTCTTGCAGAGCATTCAGGTATATAGGGTTGTGACTGAGCAACCACAACAATGGGCCTCCCTTTAGGCCCTGGGCCAGTATGGCACCAAGCTGAAAGCCTGAAGTTCACATAAGGAAAGTCAAGAGTCTATTCACCACTACCATGTGCTTTCTAGAAAGAGAGAGATACCTGGATGATGGCCCAGACTGCCTCCCTCATCATTTCATTCTATATGCCTGTATTGAGAGGATCAGCAGGAGGAGAGGTATCAAGTGCTTGCAAGGTCTCCAGGTCTGTACTGGCATTCAGGCCTTCCTCTGCTACTGGGAATTCCTTGACAGAAGACATTGCAGTAGTGGGTACTCAGGAGAGAAGCAAGTACAATGGGGCGTTTCTCCCAGGGTAAACATCGAATCCTCTCTTCCTGTTCTAGAGTAAATTTTCCTGAGCCCTGGGGTTTGGTTGTTCATGCAGACAGAATGGTAACCTTGAAACTGTTCCTAACTCAGAAATTCTCTTTGAGCTGCCTTTAATATTTAGAGTACCTAAATACTCTTATTTTCCATCTCTCCTGAGAAAGAACGAAGAATGAGAGTAGGACTTATGGGTATAATATATTTTCCAAGGACCTTATACCTGAAGAATTTAGATGACTGAGGTTGGGGAAGATCTAAGCGATGAGATAAATACAGATAGACAGCTACAGATATCTGACAGCCATAGTTTTATTCTTTTATTTATAACATACTCATTATTATCCCAAAAGAGAACATATCACTCTTGAAATACTTGAAACATGAACACCAACCTAGAAACACAATGTGAAACAAGCACACATACCATTTAATTTTGAATACAAAAAATAAAATAAAATAGTATAAAATATTTGTTATGTAACAGTTTTACACTAGGCACTGAAGACACAATGGCAAATAAGAGAGACAGCTTAGATTCCTTTCCATGAAGCATGACATGTACCCCTCCAAAATTTTATGTTGAGGACAGATTTCTATGATTGGGTGCCTTATACTTTTGTATTCTTTCCTCACTTATAGGGCCAAGCTCCACATGGTGACTTTCCTCAAACTAAAGATGCTGGACACACTTCCCTTCTCCTGTGGAGTTTCTGGTGTCTAAGAAGGCTTGACCGCCTGCTAAAGTTTCTCTTGCATATGCTACATGTATAAGGCTGCTCACCTGTGTGGGTCCTCTGGTGTTTAATAAGGTGGGAGTTCTGAACAAATCTTTTACCACATTCCTGACATTTAAAGGGCTTCTCTCCTGTGTGAATTCTTTGGTGTGTGTATAGATTTGTAGTACGACTAAAGCTTTTCCCACACCATGAGCATCTATATGGTTTTATTCCTTGGTGTCTCATGAGGTGCTTATTAAGATCTGAACTCCATCTGAATCTGCTATCACACTGTTGACATTTATAGGGTTTCTCTTCAGTGTGAATTCTCTGATGCTTAATAAGGTCAGAGCTAACTCTGAAGCTTTTCCCACATTCCTGACATGTAAAAGGTTTCTCTCCTGTGTGGCCTTTCCCCTGAAGATCTGTAAGTCTTGGAAGCTCTTCTTTACAAGTTGAAAGTTTCTTTCTTTTCTTCCTTGGAAAAGCTCGACACCGTTTCTGAACCCTGTGTGTATCACCATGATTTTCCTCATTCATTGTTGTCTGGGCAACTTCCATTCTGGCCTTTTCTGATACTATGCATCCTGGTATTTGGATTTCTGATACAGGAACAGATATAGGCTCATCGTTTCCAGTGTGTTTTTTGAGCATTAACCCTGTTAGAATAAACAGAAGAATCAGCCATCTATATCTCAGTACAAAAAAACGACACAAATGGAGAGAAAAGTCAATGATGATTGCTTTTTAAAAAAATACAAGAACAAGTGAATTCTAGTCCATTTCTTCTTGATCCTCCCCAATAGGCATAACAACAAACCCATTAAATAATGCTAGAGATAACACAAAGAAAATTCTAAAAAGTGTTAAGGAAAAGACAAACTGGTTTAGGACCCCAGAACTAGAAGAATAATGTAGCAGGCTGTCTTACATCCCCAAATCCAACAGAAAAAGGCAACCCAGATTCAAGGTTTTCCAACCCTCAACCTATTGACAGAAGGCTGCCTGGGTAGGTTTATTCCTTCCCCAGCATGAATGGGAAACCTGACAACATCAAGCAAACCAGACATCACTGGCAAAGGGGATCAGCCTGGAGTCCTGTCAACAGTAAGTGGCAAGGAGAGGAACTTGCCTTCCATACTGGACTAGAGACTCTCCTCAACCCCCGCTGAAAGATACCAAGATGTACAGGCAGAACTGGCAATAGGGACCCTGCCATATCAAGAGAAATGTATGGGAAGCCTCTTTAACACTGTAGATATGAAAATCCCTCCACTGAATTGGGGACACCAAAGTAGGCAGGCAGAACTGGCAAGAGGGAACCAGCCACAACAAGCGGCCTGGGCTATGAAATCTCTGAATTCCCATGGGTCTGAGACTCTCCTTCCCCACTGAGATACACCTTAGCCTAAGAAAATGCCTTCCACACCCTCAGGCAGCTGCAGCAGGGACCCATGGGAGCCCCACAAGTAACAGATAAACCAAGGAGACCAAAATAACACCATAAAGGCTCTGAAAATTATCACTGGAAGCATACCCTACAAAAGTAGGAAAGAACCTCTATGCTAAACTGAAACAGGGTGACTGCTCGCTAAAATAAAATATTATTTAAATAGGACTCAGACTCTCCTAACATAACAGACAAAATGATCAAGTAAGCCATGGAAATATGACAAAAATGTAATCAAACTAAAAATCAAAACTGAAAACCTAAAGACATGTGGACATGAAACCAAACACTTCTAAATAACCCATGGTTCAAACAGAAAGTCTCATAGGATATTTAAAACTAGAGTTGAATGAACATAAAATTACAATATATCAAAATATATGGAATTGAAGTTGAAGAGGCACTCAGAGGGAAACTTATAGCTCTAAATGTTAACAACAGAAAAGAGGAAAGGCCTCAAATCAGTAATCTAAGTTCCTACCTCAAGAAACTAGAAAAAAGGGAAAATAAGTCCAAAGCAGAATGAAAAAGGAAATACCTATGAGGCCAGAAAGGATAATCTATAAAAAGCATGTTCTTTAAAAGATTAGTAAAACTGGTAAACCTCTATCAAGATGGACAAAAATAAAAAGAAGACACAGATCACCAATATCCAGAAGGAAATAGAGTATATCACTACACATTCCACAGCAGCTAAAAAGATAAGGGTATAATATCATGAGCTTCAGGTTCATGAATTTTAGAAGTTAGGGAAAATAGAACAATTCCTTGAAAAACCACAAACTACCAGAATTCAACCAACATGAAACAGATAACCCCAATAGCACTATGAGCATTAAAGAAACTGAATTCATAATTTTAAAGCTTCCCCAAAAGAAATCCCCAGACCCAGATGCTGTCACTGGAGGATTCTACCAAATATTTAAAGAATTAACAATTGTATGCAATCTCTTCCAGAAAAGAGGAGGAAATACTACCCAACTCATTTTTTAAGGACAGTATTACCCTGATACCAAAACCATACAAAGTACTAAATTAAAAACTATACAAAGTACTAAATTAAAAAAACAAAAACAATGGAAAAACCAAAACTACAGACTAACATTTCCCAAGAATGTAAATGCAAAAATTGGTAACAAAATATTGACAAGCTCAATGCAACAATGTATAAGAAGAATGACATACCATGACCAAGTGGGATTCATTACAGGTGGTTCAACATTTGAAAATCAATCAACATAACCCATCTTACCAACAAACTAAAGAGAAAAGATCATATGTTTCCATCAACTGACACAGAAACAGTAATTGACAAAATCCCACATGCATTTATGATATAAAAAAACACTCATAAAGTTAGGAATTATATCAACTTGATAAAGAATATCAACAAAAAACTCCTAATAGGTAATGGCGAAAGACTGAATGTTTTCATGCTAAAATTGGGAACAAGACAAGGATGTCTGCTGTCACCACTCTCATTCAACATAGTGTTAGAGGTTGGATCTAATGCAATAAGGCAAGACAAAGAAATAAAAGGCACTGTAGATGATATGGATTGCCTATGGAGAAAATCTCAAGGAATCTACAAAAAATCCCCCTGAGAACTAATAAGTGAATTCAGTACAGTCACAGGATAAAAGATTAAAATACAAAATCAATGGCATTCTTGTCTACAGACAATGAATATGCAGAAATCAAAATTAAAAACAGTATCATTTATAATTGCTCCAATAAAGATGAAAAGCTAGGGCATATATTTAACAAAACATAGAGAGTATACGTATGCTGAAAACTACAAAAAGTTACTGGAAGAAATCTAAGGAGACCTAACTTAATAGAGACATACTGTGTTTGTGGATTGGATGAATCAACCTTTGATAGTAACGATGTCAATCCTCCTCAAACTGAAGTATAGCTTTAATGCAACTTCTGGCAAAATCCCAACAAAGTTTATTATAGACATAGATAAGCTTACACCAAAATTTACATGGAAAGTCATAGGCCCCAGAATAGCTGAAAGAATGTTGACAAAGAATATAGTGAGAAGAATCACTCTGCCCGATAGATATTAAGGCTAGCTATACAGCTAGAGTAATCAAAACTGCACGATATTGGCAGAGGGATAGACACAGCTCAGTGGAACAGAATAGATGTACACAAATGAGCCCAACTGATCTTTGCTGAGACAGCACAAAAACAATTCAATGGAGGAAGGACAGCCTTTTCAACAAATGATACTAAAGTAATTGACCTCCATAGGAAAAAAAAAAAACAAAACACAAACAAACAAAAAAACCCAAAGAAAACACTAAACCTCACACCTTATATAATAATTAATTCAAAATGAATCAGGGACTTAAATGTAAAACATCAAATTATAAAAGTTTTAGGAGAAAACACAGCAGAAAATTTTAGGGATAGAGAGGTAAGCTAGTTGGAGTTCTAGACATGACACCAAAAACACAATCTATAAAAGGACAAAAGGGAAAATCAGTGCTCATCAAAATTAAAATCTTTTACTTTGTGGAAGCCCATGGGAAGAATATAAAGATGATCTACAGACTGGGAAAAAATATTTGCAAACCCTTTATACAACAAAGCACTAGAAACTAGAATATATAAAGAATTCTCAAAACTCAACAATAAAGCAAACAATCCCATTAAAATATGGGCAAAAGACATTTAACTGAAGAGAATACAGAGATGGCAAATCAGCACATGAAAAGATATAAAACATCATTAGCCATTAAAGAAATGCTAATCAAAACCACAATGAGATATCACCACACACCAATCAAAATCGCTAATATTAAAATAGTACTGACAGTAAACACTGGCAAGGATGTGGAGAAACTGGGTCACTCATACATTACTGGTGGCAACATGAAAATGATACAGCCACTGTGGAAAACAGTTTGGCAGTTTTTTATAAAATTAAAGATGTATTAATAATTACCATATGAACCAGCAATTGCGCCCTTGAGACATTTATCCCAGAGAAATGAAAATTTATCTCTCTACACAAAAACCTGTACACAAATATTCATGGCAGCTTTATTCATAATAGCCAAAAACTGGAGACAGCAAAGATATCCTTCCTTGGGTGAATAGTTAAACAAATGGTGGCATATCAATACCAAGGGATGCTGCTTAGCAGTAAAGAGGAATGAACTACTGATATATGCAACAATTTGGATGCATTTCCAGGGAATTACTCTGAATGAAAGAAGCTAATCCCAAAAAGGTACACACTTGATAATTCCATTCACATAACATTTTTCAAATGACAAAATTTTAAGAATGTAGATCAGATTAGTGGTTGGCATGGGTTCGCAGGGTATGGGAAGGAAGTGTGCATGGTTTTTATTATTATTATTATTTATTTTAGCGTATTATGGGGGTACAAGTGTTAAGGTTACTTATATTGCCCATGCCCCTCTCCCCCACGTGCATGGTTTTAAAACGGCAACAGGAGGTATCCTTGTGCTAACGTGACTGTCCAGTATACCTTGGCTGTGGTGTGGAATACACAAACCTTCACATGAGATAAAATGTACAGAACGAAAACACACACAGACACACACACACAACACACACATGGATACAAGTGAAACTAGAGAAATCTGAATAAGATCAGTGGATTCTATCAATATCCTAGTTGTGATATCATACAATACTAGTGCAAAACTTATCACTGTGGGAAACTGGGTAAAGTGTACATGGCTTCTCTTTGTATTACATTGTCAATCTGTATGTGAATCTAAAATTATCTCAATAAAAACTTCAACTCAAAAAATATAGGAACAAAATCTTAAAATGTTAAGCCCCTGTTAAAGGTTACTAGAAGGGATGTTTCTCCTCTTCCCATGTATATACATACCTGTGGAAGACTCTGTAAGACTATCCCTGAACTCTTGGAGACCTTGGATCTATGGTTCTTCCCCTTGCTCTAAACACATCACTTTAAGTTCAGGATGCAATAATAATGCTCTGAGAATAAAACCTTGAGGTCATGGACTGTCATCTTAATTCTAGAATACCGTCAGGTAGAGTGAATGACACTTTTATACTTTCTCTTTTACTCAAAATATTTAAATGGGCAGAATCTTGGATCCAATATCTTCTTTATACTCCACTGTGGATGTGGGTAGATATGCAATGAGCAAGCTAAGAAGTAAATGTAAGGCAGATAGATGGAAACAACATAGGGAACGGGAATCCCGTTACACTGAAGCAGACTTAGCTAGACATGATAGTGGCTTAGACAAGGATGGCAAAAGTGGAAGAGCTTGAGACATGGTTGGATTCAGGATATAGTTTGAAGATAGAGCTAGGAGAACTTGCCAATGGATCAGCTGTGGAGCATAACAGAAAGATGGGAGTAAAGGATGACTGACAGGTTTTTGCCCTTGGCAACTAGGTAAATGGTGGTGCCTTTTACTGAGATGGAAAAGATAGGACAAGAGAGGGTTTGTAGGGTGGAGGCAAGGGTATGATAGATCAAGAAATCTATTTAGAATATAGAAGTGAGACATGTATATTTATAAAAAGCTCCCCCGGTGATCTAGGTAAGCCTTTTCTTTCCCCCACACCATCAAGCTGAGAACCAACCAGATATTAGAACACCGGGACTCTCTCACAGGGTCCATTTTCCATAAACTGAGGACATAACATATTACTCAATTTCTACACAGAGGGAAGGAATATTTACCTACAGAGATGGCATTCTCATAGATATCCTGCATAACGTTAATGTAGAGAATCTTCTGAGAGGTATCCAATAATTGCCATTCTTCCTCAGAAAAATACATAGCCACGTCTTCAAACGTCAAACTCTAGAGAAGAGAATGGGCTGTACTTTAGTACTTGCCACTATAGAAGTTGTCCTACTACCCTTCTCTGAATTACGCAGTAGGTCAGGGGCAGAAGAAGTTAACAGCACAAGATTTAGGGGAAAAGAGCGAGATAGCAGAAAGGGAGAGCCAAAGAGGATCAGTAAACAGCCTAGGAAGTGCCCAGTTCCCACTGTGCCAAGCCTAGTTGGCTAGAAGACAGCGGGGGCTAACACACCTCAAAGCACCTGCTGGACACTATGGGTCGTAGTCAGCAGGGGCAAGCAGACACAAGGCCATGTTCAGGTTGCCTGAAATCTGAAATACTGCTCACCTGGGACTTAGGCAAGACGAGCTCAGATGCCATCTTCTGGTCTTTGGTGCTTTTCTGCTCAGAAGGGGCTAAAATCTGTTGAGCATGCACAGCTGTAAGTGGAAAAAAGCCAGAGAAAATTTCTCTTTCCTTTACGAACATCCTGAGCTGATTTCTAAAATACATCAGCATGCCTTCAATAAAGACAGGTCGCCTTGACAAGCGTGTGTGTGGTGCCCAGAAGTGGCCTTCTCATTGTAAATAAGAACCAAATATCTGCCACTCATAGAAGTTCCCCAGTTAGTTCACTTGTCTCCAGATTTCATGAGAGAAATCAGAAAGAGGAAATATATTAATTTTCCTCTCATAAAATAAATTGTTTATTGAGCTGGGCGAAAATTAAAGGTCTGAAAATGAAGCACTTAGATCCCCAGTGTACAGTAGGAAATGTGGAAGATTTTGGCCTTTTATTATTTTTTTCTTGCTGTACACTTTTCTTCACATTCTGCTACTGACAGCTCATGTCTGATCCCAATTTCTCCTGCAACTTGTGAAAGGGAGTTGGCCCCACCTGTCCCTGCTCCATCTTCTTCTCTCCTTTCAAATTTGAAAGGAGCAGAGTCCACAGTGTGAGTATCAGGGTTCTGGGTCTGGATATTTCTGTTCCCCAGGCCAACCCCCCCACCTTCACCCACCTTTGACCTACGGTACTTCCACCTGGGAGACATCACACCTGCTAGCACGGCTGTGTACCTGGAAATTTCCCATGACACTCTAGCTGAACCAATTACTATCACAGCTCCCAGGAGAAAAGAATTCTGATGAAGCTCCTCACCTCTTTCATATACAGGCTGGGTTTCTTTGTGAGTATTTCCGCCCAGCTGTTCTTGTAGTACCTGGTATGTATTCCAACATTCTTTCTGGAACATGACCATTGGTTGGGGCTCTCCTGGATTCCACTTGAAGCCTGGGGCCACTGCTATTCCTCCCACGAGGGGCCACAGGACCCACTTGAAGCCTGGGGCCACTGCTGTTCCTCCCACGAGGGGCCACAGGATCCAATTGAAGCCTGGGGCCACTGCTTCCTTTCCCAGTTCATGGGCTGTCACCTAGAAATAATCCCCATCCTCATTAGCACAGAACTTACTTTTGCTTTTGGGGTGGTGGTGGAGGGAGGAAGAAGAGTAGGGCCCAGATTTGGGGAGTATGTGACATTAAAGAAAGTAATAAAAAGACTGAAGAGGTACTGTGCCACTATGTTCCCATAAAGAACTATACTCAAACTCTGGGAAAATTAGTATAAAATGGAAAAGGCTATGACTAATGCCACTATTCCCCCAACCCAACGGTCCCCATCCCTGTGCACAGAGCCCCAGCTCAAGCTGGTAGCAGGGCTGGGTGCCTGTTCCCCTTCTCTGGCTTGCTTTATTGCCTTGGGTCCATGCCTTGGAGGATTTCTATCTTCTGGTTTTCTCTAAAAGATAAGAAATTGAATTAAAAAACTCATTCTTGTCAGCCAGAATTTCCAGTCCTCCTATAGTCAGGGAAGGGTTTCACGGGGAAAGAGAGTGGAATGAGGGAAAAGACGGGGGAAGAGTAGGGCTCCAACCTCCCTCCACATAATTCTGTTGTAATAACACATCAAAAACATGTCCTGCCCTGGATTCTTTAAGGTGGGCTCCTGAGAAAACGAAGTGTGCTGCCATCTCTCAAAGGCATAACTTGGTTCCCCACTCTCCAGCAGGACCAAGGACAGGCCACAAAGGGAGGGCACTGGAGGCTCTCTTCTCCCGCCCAGAGATGTGCGTTCCTACTACAGAGGACACTACCCCTCAGCATCCTGATTCCCTCCACTTCTCTGTTCCCATTTGTCTTTTTTCCATATCTTTGTTTCCCTTTTTTCCTTTTCATGTCTTCTCTTTTATTGCGGTCTCCCTAGAGTTGTTTGATTCATATTTCTGTTTCTCTCCTTTGGTCTCTGTAAGCACTGTCCATTTTTTGGACCTTTCCTCCTTTCCCAACTCTTTCTGGCCTTCTATTTCTGTTTCTAAGAACTTAAGTCTTGCTTCCTTGGCCACACCAGACTAGGCCCACCACCCTCAATTCACACTGGCTATAACCTGGGAAAAAATATATTTCTTTTCTCTAACACCAGGAGAGACTCTTCCAGGAACTCTGAAACCTTTGGCCTGACTATTACTGCATGTCTGTGATTTCGGATCCCACCTAGTTGTCTTAAAGGAACGACAGAAGAATGACTTAATCTATCTTATTCCCTGATAACCTCCCGGCCCAATGTATCCACCGCTATCCTTTTTCATTGTATATGTAAGGAATCTTTTCTCTTACCTCATTCTTTGTTCCCTCAGGTTTTCTCTGCAAGCATTCCACCAGGACCACAGCCTGTTTGACATTCTGGGGATGATGCTTCTGCACCCAGTGCTGGGTCTCCCTGGGCAGCAGGGCCAGGAACTGCTCTAGCACCAGCAGTTCCAAGATCTGCTCTTTCGAGTGGATCTCTGGCCTCAGCCACTGCTGGCATAATCTCTGAAGCTGGCTGACAGCCTCGAGCGGTCCAGGTGCTTCATGGTAACTGAAGCTCCGGAAGGGCCTGCGAGCGCTCTCGGGACCAAGACCCTCTATTTGTGTGCTGCGTTTCTTACTCTGACTGGGGCTCTCTTTCACGGACCCCTTACTCTCCCACATAGACCCCATCTGGACGTTCAAGCAGGCATCCACCTTCAGCTCTCTCCTCAGCGTTTGCTCTAGGAACAGTTTCACTCCTGTGTGTGACACTGACACCCCACCAGTACCATCTTACACAACTGAGGCCGCATCAAACCAATGAACAGATCTTCTTCCCAAAGGCACTGGGGGAGAGAGCAGGAAAAAAAAGTAGTTGTCAAGAAGGAAGCCATGTGACGTATATTTACTTGCTTTTATTATCACAGAAAATTTAACAGAAAAGTTCCTGTTCTGCTTCCCCTAGAAAATCAACTGCTAAGTATTAGGATGCTCATAACGATAGATTATTCAGGAGGTATTAATATGTTTCTCTCCTTTTCTTTGCTACCCAACTTTGAAACAAGGCACAGCTCAGAGAAGGTAAATGTCCATCAATGTCTCTCTCTCTCTCTCTCTCTCTCTCTCTCTCTCTCTCTCTCTCTCTCTCTCTCTCTTTCTTTCTCTCTCTCACTTAGCAGTAGAGGAAAGGTTGGTGGGTGAGAAAACTAGCACACATTGGCCAAATGGAGCTTTGAGATTATTTAATACTTAATCTGTGTGTTTCCTGTCCCAGCTTCACAAACAGGGCATATTTGAGTTTCTGTAAATTTTAAAAGATCATCTCAGTTTTTTTCCTTAAGTCAGCAGAAAAATAACTTCAATGCCCCTTCATGTTCTCATGAAGACTGAAGCCTTTATTTCATGGAACATTCGATACTCCCTTTTCCATTGTATTAATACCAGGAGGAGAACTGAGACAGCAAGATCAGAGTAGAAGTAAAGTAATTAGGGGAAAAGTAACTTTATTCCTCTCAGAAAAGGTCCCTCCACTAAGCAACCGGATTGTCAACATTGGGGTGGGGGAGGATGCACTTCTTTGAAAGACTTATAAAGGGCACTGTACAGATTTGTACTTCTTGTGCATTAACCTTTTTGTTTAATTTAACTTTGAAAAGTTTACAGCTGGCCTTTGCTTACAGATATCCAAATGTCAGGTCGCAAAAAGAGAGAGAGAGAGAGAGAGAGAGAGAGAGAGAGAGAGAGAGAGAGAGAGAGAGAGAGAGATATGATGACGATTAAGGTTCTTCATAGACAAGAAGGGTCCTAGTAACTGTAACCCTTCTCCTGACTTTACATTTCCTCCAGATATGACTTTACATATCCTCAAGGCTGAGGATAGCCTTGAGAGCCTGACTTTCCCTGAGGCGATCCAGCAGAAACAGCAAAAAAAGTATTCTGAGGAAGCCACCGGTTGGCTTCTTGTTGCCCATCCAGACTCAGGAGGTACCAGGACACTTCCTAAATTTTTAGTCAGCAGAAGCCATTGTCTTTAGTGTTCAAATAACCCTGTCTCCTGTGTTATGGGAGCATAAGCCAGCAAAAATCTGGAAGTTTCGTTAGGTGCAGTGGTAGACATTGCCACCGACAGGAACGCCGGTAAGCACGCTGAACGCGGGCAGCCTCTCAGTGTGCTTCACAGGCACCGCTGGCTTATATTTGCGCATAGGGTAGAAAGAGGTTGCTTCTGGGCATTAGAAATGCCCGTAGGAGCCTCCCCCTGGGCCTTGCTGAGGACAGGTCCCACCAGCTCTCTGGCCAACCTGCCGCCTGGCACCGACTGCACCGGGTTCTGGAAAATGCTGCGTCCCGCCCCCGCCCCCCCCCCCACCCCCACTCATCGCCACCCAGCAGCCCCCAAAGCCTGCAACTGGCAGAAACAGCCAGTATCTCTCAGGGGCCCCTCGACAAGTTCCAAAGGGAAATCAGCTTCTCAGTCACCTCCAGTCAGCTCTGGCTTCCGTGGACGCCACTTACCTCTTCCTCAGCTCTAGGATCAAGTCGCCACGCCTGCCCGCTGCTCTGGGGAGCGAAGCTCTCCGCTGCTGCGCCGCTAGAGGAGGCTGTGGTAGGAACGCGTGCGACACCTGGCGAGTGGAGCTTCAAAGTTCTGGGAACTTTAGCAGAGGCCTTGGAAGATCAGTCCCCCAGCTGTTCCATCACCTCCCTGATACTGGATCCTCATCTGTTATTTTGTTGTCGTGTTCTGTGGGCGGAGCCTCAACCGGAAGAGGAAGAATGCATTTCTGTTGGCTTCGTGACAGCCACGCCCAGCCATCTACCTCCCTCTCCCTGTGAAGTCTCAGCCTAGTCTTGTTAAGTACTGTCTCAGGGGTCCTTTCCATTGTGGTGGAACCAGCTTCCTGCTTCATTTTGGTCCTGGATGCAAGAAATAATTAGTGCCACTGAGTCCCTAGGCCTGCTGGAAGTTTAGAGGAGCCGTGCAAATGGCTGGTCACCTTGCAACGATGTAGTCTACTGACTCCTGGTGCCAAGGTTTATCCGTGATTTGTTAGGTGTTCCACATCCAGATTGTTCCTGCTGGCTTCCTGATGGCTGGGGGCCCTTTAGACCTGAACCTCGCCCTGTAAGGGTTGCCACATCAAAACTCTGGGGCCATGGAAGAAATAGGCTCACAAGGTCAAGGGCCACATTCTTGTGCACCTGCTGTGCTCTTGGCCTTCCTGAGTCCCAGCCAGAGAGAACTCGAGCTGTTAGTTTAGGTCTCCTGTTGTCATATCCTGTGCTTTTTCTACTGCATTATGCTTCCTTGGATGACAGGGATTTTGCTTCTGTCTTGTTTCTCCTGTAGTGCTTACCATAGTCCTCTGGGTAAGGTAGGCAGTCTATAAATATTTACTGAATTATCTTTCTAAGAACCTGAATATCTCAGGCTGTCAATATTCTCCAAACTCTCAATATTTACCATGTTGGGCCATTTTGATAAAAACTGTCAATGTGAAGCAAAGAGGAAAAACTGTGTGTAGCTAACTTGTACTAATGGTGATGAAACTGACATCTTTTGGAAGTTAGTGTAAGAAACCACTCAGACAAGCAGAAGAGAGATTTGCACACCCACAAGGAAAATTAAGAGTACCTGTTTGACTTTTTACATATAAATGCACATAAGTCTAAGTTAAAGTCAATCATCATTTGAAAAGCAAAGCTGCCCAAAAGTGTGCAAGAGGACACAGTGAATTATCTGTGATATATAAACTTAGTAAAGATGTTTGGTTCACCAGAGAATCATTTTAAGAATGGTTCTCTCAAAACTATGTTCCTCAAGTCAGCCATTATCAACATAATGTGTTATGACTCAATGTAGAGAAGTCAAGGCACTGTTAACCTCTGCATAATTTCCAGGCTTACCCTTCAACTGAATCACTAACCAGTGGGGATAGTCAACCAAGAGGCATTTTCTTTCCCTTAAACGTTTCAACCTTGATTGACTCAATAAGCCAAGGTGTGATCCTGAGCTTCAGACAACTTTATAAGTGGAAGCAACTTGAAGAGACTAGTGTAATTTTGAGTAAAGTCATGATGAGCAAGACAAAGAAAGAATTCCAAAATTAAAACCTACAACACAAGAATGTTGGAACTTTTAACTTGCAAAGTTGGGGTGGTGCAAAACAAATAACTACAGCAAATGCATAAGAAATCTTCACACAAAGGAACCTGAAATGATCTTGAAGCTGCTTTAATCACTTCAGGCTGCTATAACAAATACCATTGACAGGAGCTTAATCAATAAACATTTATTTCTCATGGTCTGGAGGCTGGAAGTCTGACATCAGGATACCAGCATGGTTGGGTTCTTGGTGAGGGCCTTTTTCTTGGTTATGTCTTCATATAGCCTTTCCATGGTGCATGCATGGAGAGAGAGAGACAGACAGAGAGAGAGAGATCTGGTGTCTATTCCATACACACACACACACACACACACACACACACACACACAGGGCATTTATTGTCCTCTGGCCCCATCCTGTGAGCCAGATTACCTGTTCTGTTGCTTTCAAGAACAGGAAAGACATCAGCACCTGAGATAATCAGGAAGCCTCCTGGAAGACATCCGTACTGGAGCTTTGAGAGCCCTCCCAAGGGGAGGCACCGTTGTAGGCGAACTAAATGAGTTCACAATATTCATTCAGGGCAAACCTGGCAAGACGCTGTTTCTGTTCCTTAATAGAGCAATAATGGGCACATGCAAGTAAGAATCAAGGATCTTATAGCCACATCTCGTTATTCCTATATCTTTTGTCAACAGGGAATCAGTCGGTAGAATAGCCACACCAGCTTAAGAAGGCCAGCTGTGGCCACCAGTGGCTCTGTCAGTGCTGAAATGAAGTCACCACCCAGAACCCATTTCCAAGAGCCCCTGGGAGAAAGGCACCTGCTGTGGGGACAGTATGCTGAGTGTGGGCCAAGGTGAGCCTGGAAGGGTGGGAGCAACCAACTGGGCGACAGAGTCCTTACACACACAGGGCAATAGGGAGGCGTAAGAAAAGTCAGGCCTGGGGGAGCAGCTCCACGGAGGAGCCTCTGTGAATTGCACATGCTGAAGACCCCACAGGCAGGAGGCGAGACACTGCTGATTGGGCCCCTCTGGACGGAATGGCAACAGTTGAGTCACTGACACGTGCAGCCCAAGATCTCTAGAAAGCTCTGGAAGAGAACTTTGAAGCTCCACTCGCCAGGTGTCGCACGCGTTCCTACCACAGCCTCCTCTAGCGGCGCAGGCAGCGGAGAGCTCGGCTCCCCAGAGCAGCGGCAGGCCCGTTGGCGACTTGAGCCCTAGAGGCTGAGGAGAGAATTGCGTCACAGGAACCAGAGCGACTGGAGGACTGAAAAGCTGATTTTCCTTGGAACGTGTCGAACGGGGCCGAGAGATACGGCGTTCTGCCAGTTGCAAGCTTTGGGGGCTGCGGGGCGATGAGGGGTGGGGTCCGGGGCCAAGGGACGCAGCATTGCCAGCACGCTCGGCATCGTGCCAAGGCGGCAGTGTGGCGCAGAGAGGCTGGTGGACCTGTCCCAGCCCAGGCCCAGGGGGAGCTCCCTACCGGCATTCTACAGCCCAGAATGCACCCTCTCACTCTATCGCCAAATATAAGCCAGCGTGCCGTGAACACACTGAGAGGCGCCCGCGTTTCAGCCCGTGCTACGGGCGT